GTTCCTGCCGTCTTTTCACGGTGGGAGGGGCCGACGATCCCTCCGGCTCTCTTTTATAAGAGGGGCTCTGCCCCTATTACCTAATTGTATCGTCTCCCAAACGCCCCACCTCCTAAGACCATCACTTTGGGGGTCAGGATGTCAACATATGACTTTGTGGAGAAGGAGGTGGGGCATGAACATTCAGTCCGTTGCACTACAGTAGTCAGACTCGTGGAGACATGAGGTAGAAGAGTGGTGACAGGGACTGCAGAAAGGGGGCATGGGGAGCTAGTGTTTACTGCGGACAGAGTTTCAGTTTTGCAAGATGAAAAGTTCTGAATATGGATGGTGGTGATGGTTGTACACCATTGTGAATATAATTAATGCCACACTGAACTGCACACTTAAAAATGGTTATGGGCCAGGCACGTGGTTCATGCCTGTAATCCCAGCACTGTGGGAGGCCGAAAGGGGGGATCACATGAGGTCAGGAGTTCGAGACCAGCCAGGCCAACATGGTGAAACCTCGTCTCTACTGAAAATACAAAAATTAGCTAGGCGTGGTGGCACGCACCTGTAATCCTAGCTACTGGGGAGGCTGAGGCAGAAGAATCCTTGAACCTGGGAGGCAGAGGTTGCAATGAGCCGAGATGGCACCATGGCACTCCATCGAGACTCTATCTCAAAAAAAGAGAGAGAGAGAGATGAGATGGAGTCTCGCTCTGTGGTCCAGGCTGGAGTGCCGTGGTGCCATCTTGGCTCACTGCAACCTCCGCCTCCCAGGTTTAAGCAATTCTCCTGCGTCAGCCTCCCGAGCAGCTGGGATTAAGGCATGCACCACCATGCCTGGCTATTTTTAGTAGAGACAGGGTTTCACCATGTTGGCCAGGCTGGTCTCAAACTCTTGACCTCAGGTGATCCACCTGCCTTGGCCTCCCAAAGTGCTGAGATTACAGGCGTGAGCCACCATGCCTGGCCCAAGACTCCATCTCAATAAATAAATAAATAAATAAATAAAGTTAAGATGGTAAATTTTATGTTAATAAATAAAAAAACAATAAAAATAAAATAACAATTAAAAAAAATTAAAGGTAACCAATTCCCATGCTGCTCCAATTTCAGAGAAACACATGGGCAAAGACAGGGAGGGGTGACTGTCAGTGCTGCCCGGGCCCTGCTGCCTTTCGGATCTCTGGCACCAGGGCTCTTTCTAGCTCCCTCCCCAGAAGAGAACATCAGTGACTTGTACAGGCCCCTTCCTAGGCCTGCCTGAACTGCCGGGGGTGATGGTTGTGGAGAGAACCCAGTGCGTGGGCAGCGAGCAGGCAGCTTGCCCCCTTCCCGTTCCCCTCCAGCGTATCCCTCTTACTGTTGCAACACAAGGCGAGTGTTCCCACACTTCGTTTAATAATCACGCACTGTAGAGTGCTTCCTCCAGCTCCTCAATCTTCAGGACAGCCCAGACTCCAAGACTGGCGGTGAGAAGCCGCAGAAATCACAAGCATCTCTTGGGGACCTCTGGCTCCCTGGCCCAGCTTGCTGGCCCCTGGTCACTTTAGGGAGCCCTGTACCTTCTCTAAGTGGCAGGTTCCTCATTGGTAAAATGAAAGGGTTGGACAAGATGATCCCTCAGAGCCCTTGGAGTGCCAGCTTTCTGAGAACTGACCTGGCATAACATGCCCCATTTAGCACATACGAAGCCAAAACAGAGAGGAAGAGAGTCCCAGCAGGAGGAGTCAGAGAGCCGGCACAGAGCATGCTTCTTAGAAAAGGACACAGTCGGGGGCAAGGGCACCGTGACCTTCCCAAAGTCATGAAAGGCACAGGGCTCCGCAGCTCCTTGTTGTTCCGGATAGAACATCCCACTCTCCCAGGAGAATACCTGGGGATCGCATAAATAAACCAGCCCTGCACTGCTTTCTGGGCTCCTACGTGACTCCAGGACTTGCTCTCCAGCAGCTGTGGGCACCCGCCCAGACCCCGCTGGCCTGCGGACAGCCATTGAGCCAGTCCCACCTGTGGGCCCTTCAGTGATCCTCTGGCCCCCAGCCCCGCCCTATCTGTTCACTCTTCCTGGCAGGCTGGTAAGGGGATAAAGCTGATGTGCGGGACACTTTCCTTGCACCATTCCTGTCCACCCTAGTTCAACCCTTCAGGTTACCCTCAGGCAGCAGAGCCATGCCTGCCCAGGACTCGCACTGTCTGCATTAGGCAACAGTTTCATAAGGCGTTTGCAGTCCTCAAGACGCTGATGTGACTCCGCCTGATTTACAGCCTTCCCTCCAACCTGGGTCTAGCTGGCTCCCCAGAGAGACACCCCAGGGCCTTCCCTGGCCCAGACCTGCTGCTCTAGACTGTCCTGAGTGAGGAACACCTGAATACACCACAGCATAGAGGAAAGGACCGTGAGGATGGGAGCGCCCACGGGCAAGCCCTTCCCTGGGTCTTGGAAACCCCGTGACTCCTATTTCTCATGTCATTTTCTCCATCGTGGAGTGAATACTCAGACACAGGAAGCTTGTGAGCAGAATGATTCTGTCCTAGCGCCTGAGGGAGTGAATCAGGGCTGGGTCACCCTGCAGCAAGTTTTCTAAGATTGATACCTTCATTTACCAACACAATAAAAAAGGAATTTGTTGTCATAGACACTGTGCCTGTCACCTTGCTCAGAAACAGTCCAAGCAGCTGTTCTAAGTGCAGCCTTCAGCCCATGCCAAACTTAGATCAACTGCAGGCTGGGAGCTTTCCGAGGCGAGAATGGAAGTATGTGTGCCACAGTGGCATATGTGGGTGTGCGCTCGTGTTTGTAGGTAGCGTTTACACACACCCACCATGGGCATGCACGTGTGTCTCCCTGTGCCAGTATGCCGAGTGCTTCAGGAGTTGACCGGCACTCCACATGCAGGGGATGGAAAAGCCATCACATTTATTATCCGTCCTTGTGCAGTATTTAAAATACAACTTCGAATGTGTGCAGATTTTTAAATGTTACTGGACCACTTGGGCTTTTTTTTTGAGACCAGGCTGACTCTGAGCCAGACTACATCTGTCTGCATTGAAAGGAACCATTATTTCCCTCCCGCTCCCGCCCTGCCCCCTCCACACACACCCTCCTTCAAGTGAAACCCGAGAGTTTCCTTTCCCGTAAGGCTTCTTCTAGAAGCCTGTGCTTAGCACAGGGGCCAAGCCCTGCGGCTCTGGCAGGCCCACGTGACTCTTGAACTGCAGACTCAAGTCCCAAGGTGGGAAACCGTTTGTCAGCAGCCCCCAGATTTACAACCACGAGGCCAGGCTGGTCTTGGGGTGCAAAGCCATTGTTCAAACCACCAGTCATGCAAGGAGTTCCTAGGATTTTTTATTTTCCCCTCCAAAAAGCTCTCCTCAGCTTTGAAGAAATGCTGTTTCCTCCCCTGGTTACTTCTGCCTGATGAGAATTCTGATCTGAGGATCCAAGTAAAGGGTGGGCCACAGAACACCTTCTTTCTGCATAAAAAGACACCCCTGTTACTAAGCATGCCTGAAAGTGCCTGAGTTTTTCCCAATCCTCATCAGTGTAATCTTAAGCTAGAGAGTTCCCTTTGGGCAATATGCCAGGTCTTCCACTTTTCCCAAGAGACACCATGGGCCATACTTCCTGAAATGCATGATTTTAAATCTTCTACTTTTTTTGAAAAATAATTTTGTATCATTAATTTTTGAAAATGCTTTCTACAACCAACAACACCTCTTTGTTAACCCCATGATTTTCATTTGTTGACATTTTCCAATTCTGACCATTGGAATGTGTATCTTACCAAGTTTCGACTGGACATCCAATGTTTCCACTAAACATTATTTAAAGCCACTTCCATTTTCCATTCAGTCTGCGAAATTCTAGTTCCAAATGCTCCATTTCTGTTCGGTTCAGAGAATGCGCTGGGATTTCTTTTGTCATTCCTTTATTGCTGGGCATTTGGGTGCAACAAGTGTAGATGGGTTGTTTTTTCCACTTAATTATTTCCTTTGGATGAATTTCCATGAGCAAGATGATTGGATCCGCTGGTATGATCATTTTCAAGACTTGATGTATTCCAGAGTACTTTCCGAAAAGCTTTTAACTACTTAAAATACCACCAAGGGTGCGTATATATTTTTTTTATTGTGAACTTGCCAGGAATGAAATTAGCTTTTCTTGACTTAGTAGATAAAAATAGATAACCCCAAAAGGTTCATTTTCATTTCTTTAATGATTGATGAAGGTTTTATTGTTTTGGTTTGGGTTTTTTTTTTTCCCCTCTGAACTCTGTGCATGTTTTTTGTTTTTTGTTTGTTTGTTTGTTCGTTTGTTTGTTTGTTTTGAGACGGAGTTTCACTCTTGTTACCCAGGCTGGAGTGCAATGGCATGTTTAAATGTAGCCTATGGCTACAACTTCTTCCCACCTCTCTCAACTCCTACTGCAAAGCAAAGGATGCAGATGCAGGTGGCAGTGAAAGGGAACTGGGATCCTCAGAATAGCCTGCAGGTTAACTTCTCAACACAAATTACAATGGAGACCTCCCCAGCTATGAGAGAATGGGAGATTGAGCCAGGAGATGGGATGGAGGTGTGCAAAGAAGTCATTCGCAGGGACAGTGACGGTTGTGGCATATTTCTTCCCTTTTCTGGGTGATGGTGGGTTTTCTGTGCTGATACCTGTTTTATTCTGGGCTACTGCCTTCCATGGAGCTCTCACATCCTGGTGGCTAAGTTTCCCTTCTCTTCCTAATCACAGGGACCCAGCACTTAGGCTCACTCTATACAGCTGTGAGCTACTTTTTTTTCTGAGATGGAATCTTGCTCTGTCACTAGGCTGGAGTGCAATGGTGTGATCTCGGCTTAATGCAACCTCTGCCTCCTAGATACAAGAGATTCTCCTGCCTCAGCCTCCCAAGTAGCTGGGACTACAGGCGCGCATCATCATGCCTGGCTAATTTTTGTATTTTTAGTAGAGATGGGGTTTTACCATGTTGGCCAGGATGGTTTCGATCTGTTGACCTCAGCTTCCCAAAGTAAAGACAGTACTTCTAAAACACACCCTCCACTTTCTCTCCAATAGTGGTGTTGGCTTTCCAAAGAATTTCTTCCTCGTGAAAGGGAGCCTCAGGGGCATGGGTCAAAGCCTCCAGGGGCTCTGCTTTGGCAATCTGATGGAAAGCAGGCACACATCCCATATCAGCCGCTGCAGCCACCAGGTATTCTGCGGAGATGTTCTGTGTTGCCCTGGTGAAGACCCTGATGCCTAGATAATGCCTTGGGATGGCTCTGCTGGAGGGCAGCCAGGACTGATGTTGTCTTTTGAGGAAGTTAAGGGACAGCTTTGGATAACGAGAAAGAGAAACCTGATGAGAAATTAGGAGCAGGGCATCTGCCATGTTTCCCAGATGTTGAGGCACCTAAGGAGTTTTCTGCTTATGGGGATCTTAATTCTAACATCCAGGACCCTTTATTCTTATATTAAACAGCCTTTCCTAAAAAAGCTTCCCTACCGTCCTGGACAGATGGTTTCCCTATAAACCATCAAATGAGGTCCCTCAGACAATCACATTCCTGAGCTTCTTGGAGTTCCTGTGCTGTGCCGTGTTTTCCCTCTAGCATGGCAGGAATTGCCCACATGTTATGTGTCTGCTTGTGTATCTGTCTCTCTCCCATTAGACTGTCAAGTCCAGGAAGCAAGAGCATCTCCCACTTCTCCTAGTCCCAGCTCATGGCAAGCCATGGGAGTGTTGAGTGAATGAATGGCTTTGGGCATGAAACCAAAGGCTAATCTGATTAAGCCCATCAAATTTAACCTGCCTTGCATGCTTCTAATCACTTGCTTCTTGTCAACTTTTTAACCTATGTAGCTGAAAGTCACAGAACCAAAAGCCTCTACCTAAACTGTCTCTAGCTTCCTCACAGATAACATCTCTGACAGTGAATCACTATAATAATAGTTGCTTAAACTTATTTTTTAGGAACTAGGGGCAAGTCCTGTCCCATTTAAACCAGTTGAGATCACCAGCCTTTCAACTAGGCCTGCATGAATGCCTGAGAGGTGACTTTTTGAAATCACAGGGCCAAAAACTGCCCTCTCAGATCATGCTAACATCATCAATTTCTGAACATGCAGCCTGTGAAGAGCAATGAAGAGCCATGAAGCTTGACTATGCATGTGCAGATCGCCAATTACCTCACTTTCCCTCACCTCAGTCACCTTTCCCCACACCTCAGATCACCCTGCTTCTTTAAGCCATACATATCTGTAACCCAACTTTTGGGGATGTGGATTTGAAACCTGTTCTCCTGCCTCCTTACGGATAAACCCTTTCTCTTTTGCAAAGCCCACTGTCACAGTGATTGGCTTACTGCATGCAGGCAGAACGCGCCTGGTTTGGTATCAGGTAGACAGACTCAATACTCACCCTCCTTGAGTAAGTGGATGACTGCAGAGCTGGGATGGAAGTCTAGGCACAGAGAAGGCAACAGCACCAAGATCTGTTCTAACCATCCACCTCAAACAGCTCCCCTGCCCAGAATCCCATGAGGCCAAGGGCTCATGTGAATCCACACAGATCCCATACGAATAAAACCCTTGACATCAGCTTTTTGGGAACCAGCCTGCCACCTCCTGAACCAATCAGCTACCAGTTAAGCACTAGTCCCCACAGCAGGAAGCCTGGGCACCTGCTGCATTCTTGGTGGGGCCTCAGCTACTGCAGGGTAATCACGCTATCTCAGGTGGCCTCCTGGGATCAGTAATCAGTGATACCCTGATAATAAAATTACTGGGCCCTGATTGCAACAAACTTACTTGAAAATCCTGGCCCAGTCTTTCTAGCTGGGTATTGTGAGAGATAATCAGTTTCATCTGGTTTTGGTTCTTTTAAGACTCCCCGCTTGAACTATTCATATCATTATCTGTACCCAGTGCCTTGCTTCAGCTTTATAAAATTTGTGTTCGAGACTGCTATGTGTTCACCAAACCCCAGACAGCTTTTTAAAGAAATTTTATGTATACATAGTATAGGTGTGTACATAGCTTCTATTTTTTTGTGTGTGTATGATAGCACAGTGTTACTTGTTCTTTTCACTTAGCACCATGGTTTGCAGTCCAGTCTATATCAGTACATTTAGAACAGTCTTGTTCTTTTTCATGGCTGTGTAGAATCCCCATGTGGATTTGCCATAATCTATTTAACCTGCCACCCACTGATGACCATTTAAGTTGTTCTCAGACTTCTCCTATTATGAGCAATGTTGCACATTCTTGTGAAATTATACCTGCAAGATCTAAAATGAGATTGCTATGTCAAGGGCATGTGCTTTTTTATTATGGGTAGGGATTGTCTAATTGTCCTGCACAGATATTGACACCAGTTCTCACTTAAGTTGACCGTGTGTGAATGTGCCTGTCTCTCCTTATACTTATGATTTTTTTTTCTTTTCTTTTTTTTTTTTTTTT